GAAGGATTAGCTGGGATAAAATTATCTGGGTCTCCCAATAAGTAAAAATAGTAAAAAAATTATAATAATAAATCCAACGATATCCTTATAAGTAAAAATAGGGTGGAATGGGATTTTATCTCTATTTGAATTTAATCCAATTGGGTTATTTGAACCAGTTTGGTGTAGGAATAATAAATGAATTATAACTATTGCTAAAACAATAAAAGGTAAAATAAAGTGAAATGTAAAAAATCGAGTTAAAGTTGCGTTATCAACAGAAAATCCTCCTCACACTCATTGTACTAAATCAATTCCTAAGTAAGGTAATGCTGATAATTAATTTGTTATAACTGTTGCTCCTCAAAATCTTATTTGTCCTCAAGGTAGAACATACCCTATAAAGGCAGTTCCTATTACTAAAAACGAAATAACTACTCCAGTTATTCATGTTGGGGTAAATAAATAAGATCCGTAATAAATTCCACGTCCTACATGTAAATAAATACAAATAAAAAAAAGAAGCACCGTTAGCGTGTACTGTTCGTAATAATCATCCATAGTTTACATCACGACAAATATGATTTACTCTATTAAAAGCTAAATTTACGTCTGCGGTGTAGTGTATTGCTAAAAATATTCCAGTTAAAATTTGGATAATTAAACATAACCCAAGTAAAGATCCAAGATTTCATCATCTTGAAATGTTAATAGGAGCGGGTAAATCAACTAACGCGTTATTAGCGATTTTAAATTAAGGATGGGAGGTTCGTAAAGGTTTATTCATTAATTTATAATTCGTAAGGGTCCTTTGAATATTTTAGTAATTTTAACAATAACAATTAGCGTAATTAATAAATAATTTATTAAAAGAATTGTAACAAAATTTGTTGAAAAATTATAAAGTTTATTTAAGGATAAAGAGTTTTCTATAAATTAAGAATAACTTGAAGTAATTATTGCTATTTCATAATTTAATAAGAAAAATCTTGTTGTATTTTTATCTTTAATTATAGCTCAAATTAATAATATTAAAAATAATATAATTGAAATCAAAGTAAATTTAATTGATAAATTAAATGATGGCTCTGGCGACCTTTCCATATTTCAAAATATTTTGTTGGCAAACCGTCTTCAGGGCAATTATTTAACACGTCTGCGCTTTTTGACGTGGAGATTGTTATAACAAGATTGTTATAACAGACGGTTGTTATAAGACGGTTTGCCGATGTGCAACCGAAATATATCGGAAACAAATATAAAATAAAATTGTTTTTCATTGTTTGTTTTTAACAAACACGGACCTCGAGCCAGCCAACAAAATATTTTGATAAATTAAATATTTCATTTGAAGCTAAGGATGTAACATAAATAAATATAACCAATATACCTCCAAGAAACATATGAGAATCAATATATTTTATATAGAATAGTAAATTTTATTGTAAAATAAATTTAAATGATAAGTAAAGCAAAAATAATAATCGCCTGTTTAACAATAACATGTCTTTTTGAATTAAATTTAAAGTCTAACCTGCCCACTGAAAATTTTTAAATGCCCGCAGTATTTGAACTGGGCAAAGGTAGCTTAATCATCTTTTAATTGAAGTCTGGAATGAATGGTTGGACGAGATATTAAATGTTTCATTTAAATTTTTTATAGAATTTTATTTTTTAGTCAAAAAGGTAAAATTTATTTAAAAGTCGAGAAGACCCTATAAATCTTTATATTTTATTTATTTTAATTATATAGATTATTTTTATTATAATAGATTAAAATATTTTATTGGGGAGATATTAAAATTTAAAAAACTTTTAATGATTAAAATCATTAATGTATGAATATTTGATCCATTAATAATGATTAAAAATTTAAGTTACTTTAGGGATAGCAGCGTAATTTTTTTGGAGAGTTCATATCGATAAAAAAGATTGCGACCTCGATGTTGGATTACGATATAATTTTAGGTGTAGCCGTTCAAATTTTAAGTCTGTTTGACTTTATAATTCTTACATGATCTGAATTCGAACCGGCGTAAGCCAGGTTGGTTTCTATCTTTCAAAAATTATAATGTTTTAGTACGAAAGGTCCAAATAATTTTAATTTAAAATAGAATAACATTAATTAATATAACTATTTTGGCAGATTAGTGCAATAAATTTAGAATTTATTTATGTAATATTTATTACAAATAGTACTTGTTTTATATAGAATTAATTATGTCTTTAATTGGAAGTTTATTATTAATTATTTGTGTATTGGTAAGTGTGGTTTTTGTAACGTTATTAGAACGAAAAGTTTTAGGTTATATTCAAATTCGTAAAGGTCCTAATAAAGTTGGTTTAATAGGAATTCCTCAACCGTTTTGTGATGCAATTAAATTATTTACAAAAGAACAAACTTATCCTCTATTATCCAATTATTTAAGATATTATATTTCACCTATTTTATCTTTATTTTTATCTTTAGTCGTTTGAATATGTATGCCGTTTTTTGTAAAATTATATTCATTTAATTTAGGGGGTTTATTTTTTTTATGTTTTACAAGATTAGGAGTTTATACTGTTATAGTAGCTGGATGGTCTTCTAAGTTTAATCATGCTTTATTAGGGGGTTTACGGGCTGTTGCACAAACTATTTCTTATGAAGTTAGATTAGCTTTAATTTTGTTATCATTTTTTTTTTTAATTGGGGGGTATATTATTTTATATTTTTATTATTATCAAACTTATATTTGATTTTTATTTATTTTATTTCCTATGGCTTTAGTTTGGTTAACTATTTCTTTAGCTGAAACTAATCGGACTCCTTTTGATTTTGCTGAAGGAGAATCTGAATTAGTTTCAGGGTTTAATGTAGAGTATAGAAGAGGAGGAATTGCATTAATTTTTTTAGCTGAATATGCAAGAATTTTATTTATAAGAATATTATTTTGTGTAATTTTTTTAGTGTACTAATTATTTTCTTTTAAGTAAATTTATAAAGTTTTATTTTGGCTTAACAATTTTTTATTTATTTGATATATATGTAAATGTTAGTGTTTTTTTTTTAATTTTAAAAATTATTATATTTATTATAATCGCTGTAATTAATTTTATTTCTTAAAGAAATTTAGAAACAGCAATATTAAAAAGTAAACATTAAATTGGTGCCAGCAATCGCGGCTATACAAATTATACAAATGAATTTTTAAGTAAGAGTTAAATTGGCTTAAATTAAAATAATTAAATTTATTAAGTGAAATTTTAAATTTAAATTTTTTATAAAATAAATAATTGAAGCTTAAAAATTTTAATTAAAAACTAGGATTAGATACCCTATTATTTAAAATGTAAATATTAATACTTAAGTAGTAATAGATAAGTTCTTGAAACTTAAAAAATTTGGCGGTATTTTAGTCTATCCAGAGGAACCTGTTTTGTAATCGATAATCCACGATGGACCTTAATTAAATTTGTAACCAGTTTATATACCGTCGTTATCAGAATATTTTATAAGAATAATAATATTCAATAATTTTGATTAAAATTTATATCATATCAAGGTGTAGCTTATATTTAAGTAATAATGGGTTACAATAAATTTATTTAGATGAATAAAATTATGAAAAAATTTTTGAAGATGGATTTGGTAGAAAAATTTAAAGATAAATAATTTGATTTGATTTGATTGTAGCTCTAAAATATGTACACATCGCTCGTCGATCTTATTATTAAGGTAAGATAAGTCGTAACATAGTAGATGTACTGAAAAGTGTATCTAGAATGACAATTGAAAGCTAATTGAAAGCTAAGTAAAACATTTCATTTACATTGAAAAGATTTTTGTGCAAATCAATATAAATTGATTAGATTTTATTTATTAATTTTATTAATTTTAATGAAAATATTAAAATTAATTATATTTGAAAAAGTTTTAGTACTGTTTAAAGAAAAAATAATTTTAATAATAGTTTAGTAGTATTGTAAAAGAAAGTTGAAATGTTTTGAAAAATTTTTATTTTAAAAGAAGATTTAATTTATTGTACCTTGTGTATAAGCGTTTATTAAATAAAAAATAATTAAATATATTTTTCTCGATTTAATAGCAGTTAATATATATATATATATGCTTAGAATAAGCAATTATTTAAAATTATGTTATAATTTATTTTATAAATTAAATTATTTATTATATTTTAAATTTTTATTGAAAATATTAATTTTAATTTTTAAAATTAAGTAATAATGATAGAATTAGTATATTTTATTGTAAAATAAATTTAAATGATAAGTAAAGAAAAAAAGGCAAAAATAATGTTCGCCTGTTTAACAAAAACATGTCTTTTTGAATTCAATTGAAAGTCTAACCTGCCTACTGAAAATTTTTAAATGGCCGCAGTATTTTAACTGTGCAAAGGTAGCATAATCATTAGTCTTTAATTGAAGGATGGAATAATGGTTGGACGAGATATTAACTGTTTCATTTAAATTTTTTATAGAATTTTATTTTTATTATTAGTCAAAAAGCTAAAATTTATTTAAAAGTCAATAAGACCCTATAAATCTTTATATTTTATTTATTTTAATTATAAAGATTATTTTTATTATAATAGATTAAAATTTTTTATTGGGGTGATATTAAAATTTAATAAGCATTTAATGATTAAAAGTCATTAATGTATGAATATTTGATCCATTAATAATGATTAAAAATTTAAATTACTTAAGGTATAACAACGTAATTTTTTTGGAGAGTTCATATCGATAAAAAAATTGCGACCTCGATGTTGGATTAAAGCCAAATACTTTTAAATTCTTACATGTTCTAAGTTCAAACCGGCGTAAACCAGGTTGGTTTCTATCTTTAAAAAATTATGAATATTTTAGTATCGAAAGGACCAAATATTAAAATAATTTTATTTTAATATAGAATAACAATAATTAATATAGCTATTTTGGCAGATTAGTGCAATAAATTTAGAATTTATTTATGTAATATTGATTACAAATAGTTCTTGTTTTATATAGAATTGATTATGTCTTTAATTGGAAGTTTATTATTAATTATTTGTGTATTGGTAAGTGTGGCTTTTTTAACGTTATTAGAACGAAAAGTTTTAGGTTATATTCAAATCTAATCTTTAGTTATCTTTAGTTGTTTGAATATATATGCCGTTTTTTGTAAAATTATATTCATTTAATTTAGGGGGTTTATTTTTTAATGTTGTACAAGATTAGGAGTTTATACTGTTATAGTAGCTGGATGGTCTTCTAAGTCTAATTATGCTTTATTAGGGGGTTTACGGGCTGTTGCACAAACTATTTCTTATGAAGTTAGATTAGCTTTTATTTTGTTATCATTTGTTTTTTTAATTGGGGTGTATATTTTTTTATATTTTTATTATTATCAAACTTATATTTGATTTTTATTTATTTAATTTCCTATGGCTTTAGTTTGGTTAACTACTTAGCTAAAACTTAATCGGACTCCTTTTGATTTTGCTGAAGGAGAATCTGAATTAGTTTCAGGGTTTAATGTAGAGTATAGAAGAGGAGGATTTGCATTAATTTTTTTAGCTGAATATGTAAGAATTTTATTTATAAGAATATTATTTTGTGTAATTTTTTTAAGTTGTGATGTATTTAATTTATTATTTTATTTAAAATTAATATTAATTTCATTTCAGTGGTACTTTACATCGGTTTCGTTATGATAAATTAATATATTTAGCATGAAAATGTTTTCTATCTTTTTCATTAAATTATTTCTTTTTTTTGATCGGGTTAAAAATTTTATTATTTTCTTTGTTATTATGAATTAAAATTAGTAATTATTCAAGTTAAAAGAAAGTAATATTTCTATCTTATGTTTTCAAAACATATGTTTATTCAAGCACATTAAATAATTTAAGAAATTATCTCATAATTTATTTACTAAAGGGTTTAGTAAATAATATAAAAAATAAACAATAGTTAAAATTTGTCCAATTAATACATAAGGTTCTTCTACTGGCCGGGCTCCAATTCAAGTTAATAAAATTACTGTAACTACTATAATTCAAAATAAAATTTGGTTGATAGGGTTAAATGGAATTCCTCGGAATTTTCTTATATTGTAAAATTGTTAAATTATTAAAATTGCAATTGAAAGGACTAGGGCGATTCCTCCTCCTAATTTATTAGGAATAGATCGAAGAATTGCGTAAGCAAATAAAAAATATCATCCTGGTTGGATATGGGCTGGTGTTACTAAAGGATTAGCTGAGATAAAATTATCTGGGTCTCCCAATAAATTTGGGTTAATTAAAATTAAAGAGATTCGTAAAAAAATTATAATAATAAATCCAAAGATATCCTTATAAGTAAAATAAGGGTGGAATGAGATTTTATCTCTTTTTGAATCTAATCCAATTGGGTTATATGAACCAGTTTAGTGTAGGAATAATAAATGAATTATAACTATTACTAAAACAATAAAGGGTAAAATAAAGTGAAATGAAAAAAATCGAGCTAAAGTTGCGTTATCAACAAAAATCCTTCTCACACTCATTGTACTAAATCAATTCCTAAGTAAGGTACTGCTGATAATAAATTTGTAATAACTGTTGCTCCTCAAAATGATATTTGTCCTCAAGGTAGAACATACCCTATGAAGGCAGTTCCTATTACTAAAAACAAATCCTCCAATTATAATTGGTATAATAATGAAAAATAGCATGGGCAGTAACAATAACATTATAAATTTGGTCATTTCCAATTAAAGCTCCTGGGTGGCCTAATTCAGCTCGAATTAAAATTCTTTAAGATGTTCCAGCTATTCCTGCTTAAGCACCAAAAATAAAATATAATGTTCCAATATCTTTATGATTTCTTGAGAATAAATATTCTCGCGATTAAGCGATGTCTGAAGTTAGGCGATAGATTGTAACATATATTTTCTTCTTAATCAACTGATTAGTAAATTTTATTAAATCGGTTTGGTCTTATAGTCAATAATGACATCAAGCTGCAATTTTGAAGGAGTAATTTTTACCTCCCTATGGGCTCCCTATATTTACAGCTTTGAAGTCTATTAGTCTTATTTAACTTAAATCCTTTGACTTAAAATATAGAATAAAATATTGAAATTAAAAATAATCCAAATACTGATAAAATTGTAAATATTAAGTATAATTTTATACTAAAATTATTGAATTGTGAGCTAATCACCCAGTTATTATCGTAGTAATTTAGTATAAATGCTGAGTAGCAAATGCGTTGGTAAACATATAATGTGATTAAAGTTGATGTTAATAAAATTATTAACTGAAGATATTGGTTAACAGAAAGTTAATTGTTCAATTACAATTCATTTTGGTAAAAATCCTAAAAATGGGGGTAATCCTCCTAAGGATAAAAAATTTACAAATTAAGTAAGTTATATAACTTTTCTTTGTATAAACCAAGAAAATAATTGGTTTAAATAAAATAGCTTAGAAATATTAAATATAAAAGTTAAAAAAAAAGATAAAAAAAATAGAGTAAAAAATAAATTAATCAAATTGATTCATTAATTATTAACGCTCTTAATATCCACCCTAAATGATTAAAAGAAGAAAAGGCTATACGTTTACGTAAAGAAGTTTGTTTTTGTTAGTGTAAAAGAGTCTGCACAGGGCAAAGTAATAATAAGGCAACCAAATAAGAACTGAGAACACACGACGAACAATGTGAACACGACGAACGTGTTTTTTAGAGTGAAGAGTAATTACAAAAGGTTCATAGAATAAGAACATATGTAATCTGGTTCATAAATCTTAGTGATGGCATAATTCATAATTGAACTTGAACTTTAACACTTCTTCTCAAGTTAATATTTTAATTTGACATACAGTATTTCTTATTCAACCAAACCGAGCAATTTAACAAATTTCTGATGCTTTTTTTTTTGTAGATTTTTTGTTAAGATATCTGCAACATTTCCATTTGTGGGAACATAATTAATACAAACACTTTTTAATGCTAGAACCTCTCGTATGTAATGATATTTAATATCGATATGCTTTGTTCGCTTATGGTGTACAGGATTAGCTGCAATTTGCTGAGCACTCAAATTGTCACCATAGATTTGCACGGGCTCTGTTGTAGTCTCCAGTAGTCGTCGTAGATATGTTGCCTCTTTTGCCGTCGTTGATAAGGCTACATATTCAGCCTCAGTACTGCTCTGAGCGCCCACTCCTTGTTTTTTTGATTCCCAAGAAAATGCTGAACCTCCAAGATAAAATCCGAAGCCAGTATACGATTTTCTATCCAGGTTGTCATTAGCCCAGTCTGCATCGACAAATGCGTGCAATCCTTGACCAGTTTTTCGATAATGGACTTTTAGGTCAATTGTCTTTGCCAGGTAGCGTAAGATGTGCTTCGCGGCGGACTCATGCTCGTGATGCGGGTCAGTATTCCGTTGTGCTAGCTTACTTACGGAATGAGCTATATCAGGCCGACTTGAGATGGCCAGATACGTAAGTGCATTTACCTTCGTTGCAGCTTATTTGGAATCCAGGAACTAAAGGTGTCGATACAGGACGACAGACGTTCATGCCGTATTTCACCAGTAGGCACCTTATATACTGTTTCTGACAAATAGAGATAGCACCTAAATCTCCTTCACGCTGTATTTCGATGCCTAAAAAGTGATTTAAATGACCATTGTCGTGAACATCAAACATTTCCTGCAACTTCTTCTTAAAGTACATTAGATCTGAGCGTTTAGAACAAGCTATTATTACTACTATTATCAACATATACTGCTATCAAATTGTACGAATCTTCAGAAATATTTTTATACATGCATGGTTCATTTTGTGTGGCCTTAAATCCCAGTCTTTTTAATGCGTCATCTAGAGTGCTGTTCCACGCTCTGCCTGACTGCTTGACTCCGTACAACGCTTTGTTCAACTTCAGAACACGATTTGGGTAATCTTTGCTGACAAAATGTTCCGGCTGCTTCATATAGACACTCTCGGTGAGCTCGCTGTTGAGGTAGGCATTTGAAACGTTCATTTGATGCAGGTATAATTCTTTTTCTGCAGCTACAGCCAACAACATTCTAATATTTTCATATCGTATGACTGGCGAAAATGTTTCACTGAAATTTACGCCATATTGCTGGCTGCTACCCTTAGCGACTAGTCTTGACTTGAACCGCTCAATATTACCCTGGCTGTCTCTTTTCACTTTATACATGCATCCAATAACTTTTGCATTGGGTGGAAGATCAACCAGCGACCAGGTGTTGTTTGCGATGAGGGCATCGTACTCACATTTCATAGATTCCTCCCACTCAAACGCATGTTTGCCATGCAACGCCTGCTTAGCTGTATTTGGCGTTTCCATGTCATAGTTTGTCATAATATGAAGCTCGTTGTACTGCTTCCTTGGCCTTCCAGGTCTTCCAGTTCGAATAAGCGTAGGCCTGCCTGAGCCTCGTCGTATGTCCACTTCTTCATCAGGGCTGCTCGTTAAATCAGAATCTCCAAAACTCTCATAATTCTCTATATCTTCGTCTGAATGATTATCGATTATGGGCTCTTGGTTTTGGATTTCTTCATTGATTGCTGGCTCTGCTGTAACTGCCTGCGGTGGCAGCTCCTCTGGCGCTGCCTCTCCAACATTGGGATCCCCATGTATGTTACTGCTAATTATAAAAGAAGTAAAAAATTTTTGCGCTTCTCTTTCAACAAATTTGACGTCACGCCTCTCGATCACTTGTTTAGTGTCTTTGTCAAACAGTCGATATGCTTTTGCAGTAAGAGAGTAGCCAACAAACATATATTCTTTTCCTTTGGGCTTAAATTTCTTGTGATGCAATTTGTCCAGCGCTTAGACGGGTGACCCAAAAATTCGTAGATGAGACACTGATGGCTTGCGGCCGCTCCAAACTTCATAAGGAGTAGTACCTTGCAGTGCCTGGGAGGGGGACCTATTCCGTATGTAAGCTGCAGTTGCAACAGCTTCAGCCCATAGGGATTATTCAACGTTTGCATGGACCATCATAGCGCGAGCCATTTCTACTAGCGTTCGATTCGCTCTCTCTGCCACTCCGTTTTGTTGTGGCGTGTAGGGCACTGTTAACTGTCTTTTTATGCCACATCTTTTTAACAGCGCATCGAATTTACCATTAACAAACTCTTTGCCATTGTCACTACGGATGGCTTTTATTTTGTGTTGCATTTGACACTCAACTAGGTTTTTAAGTGTTTCAAATTTATCAAGTGCTTCGTTTTTGGATTTCATAAAATATACAAAATATCTTTTGGACCGATCGTCTATGAATGTTATGAAATATTTCGCACCACCAATTGATGGAACATTTATAGGCCCGCAAACGTCCGTGTGTATTAAATCCAAACAATTAGTTGCACCCTTATCGTTCGTTTGAAATGGCAATGCACAGATTTTCGATAAATTAACTGTGTTGCAATTTATTTCAGTTGAGAAGTTTTTTAAGTCAATACCGTGGACACGTTCACTATTTACTAGCTCTTTTAAGCTGCGAAAGTTTAGGTGGCTATACCGATTGTGCCAAACTATTGCTTTTTCTTGCATTGAAAACAATTTATTTTGATTCACATCATCAAACAAAAACAAATTTCCGATTAAATCAGCAATTAGTAAAACTGAACCGTTTTTGCATTTAACTACTGCACGATTGTTCTTGAAAACAACTGAATGTCCGAATTTCAACGCTTTGCTGACCGAATAGAAGTTTATATGCAGTGACGGGACATACAATACATCATGCAACAGAATTCCACAATTATGCGTTTTTATTTTTACGACTCCTTTGCCGGCAGATTCTATGAATTTATCTGGACACCACTGTCCAGACACCAACTAGCTTTTTTTGCATGTTCTTTTTGCATTGCTGTGTATACGGCGTACGAGCATTTTTGTTGTTGTCCTTCGTTTTGATTTTCGCACTGCTTTTGTTTCTTTCGCTTTTCTTTGCATTCCGCTGATTTGTGGCCTCGTTTACCGCAATTGAAACATATTCCGTTAAATTTCCAGTCTTTCTTTGCACGACCTTCTTTCTTGTGCTCTCTTTTCTCCGAACGAGCGCCTACGAAGAATGCTTGCTGGTTGTTACCTATTTCGCAATTTTGTGATATTCTACCAGCCTCTGCTAATAGCTTTATTTTAAGTACATAAAAATCTGGCAATGAGTCTCTTGTCTCCATTGCAACAACGAAATGTTCATATTCCGTGCTTAAACTTGACAGCAATATAATAAGTTTAACTCGTCTTGCAAATCAATGCTCACTTCAGTTAACTTGTCAATAACCTCAATAAACGAATTTATATATTGCGATACATTTTCGTTTATGTCTAATTTCATGTTTAGCAACTTTTTATACAACGAAACTTTAAGAATCGGACCCGTCGGCACATGCACTTCACGTAATTTGTCCCACGCTTCTTTAGAGGACTGTGCATTTTTTACATAGCTTAATTGCGCAACATTGACATTTAACACAATGCACGCGAGCGCCTTTTCATCCATCAAAACTGTATTTGCAGCAGCTGCGTTGACCTCCAACTTGCCACAGACTACATTCCAAAGTTATTGGTGAATTAGAACACTTTTCATCTGTATAGCCCATACATCGTAGTTTTTATCATTTAACTTTTCGATTTGAAATTGACTCATTTTTCCTTATTAATACTTTCGTGACTCTGGGCCCATAACCAATGTTAGTGTAAAAGAGTCTGCACATGGCAAAGTAATAATAAGGCAACCAAATAAGTTTATTTTAGAGTGAAGAGTAATTACAAAAGGTTCATAGAATAAGAACATATGTGAACTGGTTCATAAATCTTAGTGATGGCATAATTCATAATTGAACTTGAACTTTAACAGTTTTACACCTCCAATTGCTCCGATAATTACTGAAAAAATTACTCTAATTAATAATAAACTTTTAAAATTTAAGTAAGAAATTAATATTAAAGGGGCAATTTTTTGTCATGTTATTAAAAGGAGAGCATTTATGCAAGTTAAACTTTCTATTAAGTTAGGGAATCAAAAATGGAAAGGGGCAGCTCCTCTTTTTAATAATAAAGTTGATGAAATAATTATTGAAGTACAAGAGTTATTGATTTCGATAGTTATTCTGTTATTCAATATTAATAAAATTACTGAAAATAATAAAACAGTTGAAGCTAATGCTTGGGTTAATAAATATTTTAAATAAGAAGAAGAATTAGGGGAATTAAAGATAACATATTAGTTTCTTAACTTATTTATGCTCCTAACCAAGAGTTAGAGGTTACCGTAATTAATGTTCCGATAATTATTATTGTTATAAACAAAATTTTTGAAGAATTATTAAAAATGGGGTATGAGCCCAGTAGCTTAATTAGCTTACCTTTTTATTTCATTCATTTACAACAAGTTTACTAATATTTTTAAAAAAATGTTGAATTTTTAAAAAGTATTAATTTATATCTTTATGTTTAAGAATAATTAAAAATTTCTATATAGATCTATATAAATTAGTAAATCTTCAACAATATATAAATATATAATAATTTATAAGATTTATATTAATTTATATAAATTAAAAGAATCATTAGATAAATCTTTAAAATATCAACTTTTTTTTACCATATTTGTAAGTATTTTTGGATTAGGACATTTTTTATTTAAATTGTAAATTATATAATAATATATTAAATATTTATATATATAGATTATCTATTAAATTAGACTTAGTATATAAAAACTTTCTTTTAAATTTATTAATTTTAAAACAAATATATGTTTGTTATACCTATTTTTTGAAAAATTGCAAAAAAAAAATAGGAAGATTTTTTAATAGACTTAAAATTGAATTTAATTCAATTATATTATTGATGTTTATTTTTTAATTAAAATTAGTTATTTTGCTAATTTCATATAGTTATTTTTTATAATATATTGTTAAAATTAATTATGTTTTATTTATTTATTAATTAAATTTATTAATATATTACATTTTGTAATTATTTCCGTTTACTCAAATTATTAAATAATTGTGTTAATTTTATACTAAAATGTAATATTATAATAAAAATATGTTATTTTTTAATTATGTAAATTTTTAAATATTTAATATGTAAAAATAAAATAATATTTAAATTTCGTTTTTATTTTTAAATGAAAATTATATTAATAGGGGTTTATTTTCGTTACTTTAGATTCTAGTAATTGATTAAGTTTATTTATAAATTTATTAAATTGTTTTTAAATTTATTTAAAAAAATAAATTATAAAAATTTAATTTTATTAATTAGTATACAAATTATTTTCTTTTTAGTAAATTTATAAAGTTTTATTTTGGCTTAAAAATTTGTTATTAATTTGATTTATATGTAAATTTTTGTGTGAGTTTATGTTAATTTTAAAAATTGTTGTTTTTATTATAATCGCAGTAATTAATTTTATTAATTAAAGAAATTTAGAAATAGCAATATTAAAAAGTATAGATTAAATTGGTTATTATGTCTTTAATTGGAAGTTTATTATTAATTATTTGTGTATTGGTAAGTCTTATTAGAACGAAAAGTCTTAGGTTATATTCAAATTCGTAAGGGTCCTAATAAACTTGGATTAATAGGAATTCCTCAACCTTTTTGTGATGCAATTAAATTATTTACAAAAGAACAAACTTATCCTCTATTATCAAATTATTTAAGATATTATATTTCACCTATTTTATCTTTATTTTTATCTTTAGTTGTTTGAATATGTATGCCGTTTTTTGTAAAATTATATTCATTTAATTTAGGGGGTTTATTTTTTAATGTTGTACAAGATTAGGAGTTTATACTGTTATAGTAGCTGGATGGTCTTCTAAGTCCAATTGTGCTTTATTAGGGGGTTTACGGGCTGTTGCACAAACTATTTCTTATGAAGTTAGATTAGCTTTAATTTTGTTATCATTTGTTTTTTAATTGGGGGGTATAATTTTTTATATTTTTATTATTATCAAACTTATATTTGATTTTTATTTATCTTATTTCCTATGGCTTTAGTTTGGTAAACTATTTCTTTAGCTGAAACTAATCGGACTCCTTTTGATTTTGCTGAAGGGAAATTTGAATTAGTTTCAGGGTTTAATTTAAAATATGTGCTTATTCAAGCTCATTAACTAATTTAATAAATTATCTCATCCTTTATTTACTAAAGAGTTTAGTAGGTAATATAAAAAAAGCCAACAGTTAAAATTCATCCTATTAATACATAAGGTTCTTCTACTGGCCGGGCTCCAATTCAAGTTAATAAAATTAATGTAACTACTATAATTCAAAATAAAATTTGATTGATAGGGAAAAAAAGAATTCCTCGGAATTTTCTTAAAGTGTAAAATGGTAAAATTATTAAAATTGCAATTGAAAGGACTAGGGCGATTACTCCTCCTAATTTATTAGGAATAGATCGAAGAATTTCGTAAGCAAATAAAAAATATCATCCTGGTTGGATATGGGCTGGTGTTACTAAAGGATTAGCTGAGATAAAATTATCTGGGTCTCCTAATTAATTTGGGTTAATTAAAATTAAAGAGATTAGTAAAAAAATTATAATAATAAATCCAACGATATCCTTATAAGTAAAAAAAAGGGTGGAATGGGATTTTATCTCTATTTGAAATTAATCCAATTGGGTTATTTGAACCAGTTTGGTGTAGGAATAATAAATGGATTATAACTATTGTTAAAACAATAAAAGGTAAAATAAAGTGAAATGTAAAAAAATCGAGTTAAAGTTGCGTTATCAACAGCAAATCCTCCTCACACTCATTGTACTAAATCAATTCCTAGGTAAGGTACTGCTGATAATAAATTTGTAATAACTGTTGCTCCTCAAAATGATATTTGTCCTTAAGGTAAGGGATGGGAGGTTCGAAAAGGC